AAGAGTAACTCTGAAAATAAAGGGGTTTATCATCTGCTTCCACACCCGAACACAGCGAAGGGTGAGAAAGCTGACTTTCACGTTAACCCTCCATTACAGTCCACAAAGGCTACATACAAGAGTTACTATTTCAGTGGGATTGGCAGAACCAAAAAAAAAAACAACCAGTCATCATCTTCATTTACCCAGCGCGCGGTACCCGTACACCAGGATGACTGCAGAAACGCCGTGTGACACCAGGAAGGAGTCAGTCCCCTGTGGGGTTTAAGCACTGTAAATCTCATTATAATATCAACAGGAGTCACATGGCTTAAACCCCCAGCAGGGTTTTTTAAAGTTTCTCTGCGAGAGCCTAAAGGCCATGGCCAAGTCAACGGGAAGAGCCCTACCGAGATTTGTATTTATTTTTTAAATCCAAGTGCAAATCTCTTCTCTTTCCAGGGAACTTGCACAAGACAAGACAAACTATGTCGGACATGATACCCTGGTATTGTGTCCAAAGAAAATGACTTGAGTGACCGAGAGTATCAAGCCGTAAACAATGCTGGGGATGTCAAAGTCTAGTGCTGTCAATAACCAGAAAAATCAGCGTTGACTGTAAATGGGAACTTAAAAGGTCATTTTGCTAACACGATACTAAGCGTAACATACTTAACACCTACACATAGCCTCCACTGCCATTTGACAAAGCAGAGCAACTACTTCAACTTACCAAAAATAGTTATTTCAAAAAGCAAAAAAAACCCCTCAGTACAGAAAGACAAAGGCAGGCCCCTTCCGTAGGCAGCGCGCCTCTCTGACGGCAGCGACTCCCATCCCGCTCGGGGAGGGTTTCAGCGGTGCCTTTCGGTGACCTTTATGTGTCAGTATCCGATTACTGCTATTTTATCCATCCCACTTTTGAAGATATTATAGATTGGCACTTGTTCCCTGGAAGAGCCTTAAGAAGCACCTCAAAACAAAACAAAGAGAGGGTTTATACCGGAGCGGATGTAACACACAAAGGATGCAGCCGGTGGAAATGAATGGAGAACTCTGTTTAACTGATCTAAGTACTTACTTTGTTTGAGCAAATAGAGGTGGAAAATGAAGATTTTAATCCAATACATAAACAAACAGATTTGCGGGCAAAATGCAAACCTATAATCTTAAATTGTACAACGATATTTTGTCTGCATGCAAGCACAGTTCCTGTAACGTGGATGCATCCTTGGTCTCGCTGCCGGAGACAGAAGATGTGAGCATTGGCAAGCAGAAGCAAGTTTTAGGTCTGTTTGATTTCTAATGACACATTAGAGTAGGTGTTTGTTTCTGTCACCCTCTCCTTCCCAGGAATGCATATTCATGGTCGGGTACTGGTGATGCAACGCTAGTTAGTGAAAGTCATTTTATAACAAGACGTAATTTTCAAAGAAGGAAAAGAATAAATGATGTAAAAAAATCAAGATGACGTGGGTTTTTTTTCCTCCTTGTAAGGAATTTGCATAAAAAATACTTAACACAATAGAATTATTTCCAAATAATGTAACAGTGCAATGTTATTACACCTAAGTACAGCAAATGACTCCCTGGCAATAAGTCAGCTTGTTCGTGACATACGACAGAGTAACAAAATCCACGCGGGAAGCTGAAAACTGCCTAAGTATCCACTTATTTTCTGCTGCCTCCAGACCGGTTTCCAGTAAGAAGGGGAGGGGAGAAGAGCCAGGCACTTCCACAGCTCCTCTATGCTTGCTGGATAGAAGAGAGGAGGTTTTACCTCCGCCTTCTTCAACCTACGTTGCTTCATAACTCCAAGGATCTCCTGAGGGTCTGGAAGCAAATTCACCACCTACTCTGACGAGGACAGCTGTCAAAGCTGGTACTTGCACAGCCCCACTCACCTGGACCACTCCAGCCATTTAATTTTTGCAATGCATCTGCAGTGCATCTCTGAGGAAGCACACTCTGGGACACAGAGAAACCACAGACAGCTAAGCCTCAACGAGAGTAAAGAAGACATTACATCCCAAAGAGAGACAGGAACATGCTTGGCACTGGAGAAAGTAGTAACCAAAGCACTAGCCTGAAAGCTACCCGTGCTGTACGGTTTAATTCGACCCGTATTTCCTAAAGGCCCAACAACGGGTACCACGCTCGTACGCTGGCAAAAAAGTCACGGGGGGATATAAAAGCCAGCTAAGCAGCAGCCTCAGAAATAGTAATTCTGCCACACAGTAGAGCCTATTTTAAGTATTCACGATTTTGACACACTTCATAGTCTACTCTTTTCTCTTCCACATCTGCTTGGGCCAATGACCTTTGCCAAAATACCGGGGGAAGGCAGTGATGCAGAGAAGCATCCTTGATTTTCTTCTATTACAGTTATGAAGCATCTGCTCACGTTCTTAACGGTGCAGAGAACATGCCTGAGACACCTGCACACTGAAAAAATCAATACTACATCTCCTGCTTTCTTCTTGGAAGGGGTGTGAGCAGAGCACCCACAGAAACTGCAGAATTGCCCTTCTTTAAAAAATTGTATTTTATTTCTCAGGAGCAACGGGAAGTGACCTCATCTTTGCCAGCTGCCACGGAACCCATGTCAGTGTTTGGTCCAGGCAGGAGCACAAGGCTCAGTCTCACACCACATCTCCCCTTGGTCTGATGTGGATGGCACAGCCATTGAGGCAAAATGCCAGGATTTTGGTCCTGTACAGGAGGAGGAGAGACACAACTGGGAACCAACACAGGTCTCCCGTATTCGTGACTGCCCGCTGAGCTCTTCAGCTCATCAAAAGGCACCAGCAGAATGAAGTTGGTGAAACTGTCACAATTCTGAGTCAGAAACACTCACTGTATCGGATTTAAAATCAAACCAGAAGCAGTGATGATTAAATCCTTGTACCAAATGGACTCGAATGCAAGTTCCTGTCTTCATGACAAAATCAATCAAATAAAGACATGTTTTGCAGTGAAACTGCACTGGTGCAAAACCCTCTGAATTCTTACTAAGGTGGCTTAGCATCCCCTTCCCCTCTCAACTGTGAATTTAAAAACACTCCAATAATTTAAAAAAAAAAAAAATCAAGAAACTTACTAAGCCATATAATGAAACAGACGATTTCTAGGTATTTACGCTTCCAGCCAAGCCTCCTAACTGCCC